ATGAATTTAGAAAATGTAAATCCTCTGATATAGCTTACAAGATTAACTCTTATTTGTTGAAATAAATGTTTGATATTCATTTTCTGTTATAAGCAATCGTTTCGTTTATTCAAATTAAATTCGTTTATTCAATTTATTTGTTTATTCGTTTATTCGCATTTAATATTAATTATAACCTATTAACTTTCTTTTTGTGATTATTCTTTATTTCTTCAAATATATTTAATACATTCATTCAATCAATTCGATTATTTGTATTAGTTTGTATTATATTTATAGATAATAAAATTGTTTAAAATATGAAAAGACTTTCTACAATATATTAATAACGAATGAAATCGTGATATGATGACTCACTTTCCATAATTTTTTTCAATAATTTTATCTCGCACATGAGAAATATTCATTTATTTAAAATTCATCACTTCAATACGTATTATAAATAATAATGTTATATATATAAAAATCTGTATATAAAATTATTTAAAAATATCGTTTCTTAAAATATTTGTTACAATATACATATATACACTATATATCACTATAAAGCTTGAACATAGGTAAATATTACTTTATCAATTATCTTATGAAAAAAAATCAATTATTCATATAGTCGAATGAACTATACTTTAATATCAAATATAAATAATTTCTTATACAAGTTTTAAAATTAAACATAATTTATAAAAAAATTACAATATATAATAAGAAAAGAATAAATAAAAAATTATTAACAACAACCAATTAAATCAATCAATAATCGAATAATTGTAATAATTTTAACCTTACTTCCCGATGGATAAGATGCACCGCACCTGTCGAGTCAAACTTTGATCATTATTACCCTTCAACAAAGATATAAACGCCAATAACTTTATCAAGAATTCGACCATTTCATTTGCAACGATCTAATTACAAACTCTCCAGGATACTCTTTAACAAGATTCATTTACTCATTAAATCGAATTCAACGCTCCTTCCCCCCATTTCTACAAAACTCTCCAATTCTTTCTCTCCTCCCAAATAAATATTCAATCGCAATCAATGTACGCGCAAACTCTCTAAATCGTTCCACGGAATCTTATATACCCGATATCCTCTCACATCGATCGTATAAATCATCTCGAAATCAACTCGAAGTCTCTCTGTCTCTCTCTCTCTTTAAATATCCGACCGCTTTCTCGCGTACCGTAATCTAAAATTCTCCTCTTATTTCCTATAGGAGGACGTTCTCCTCTGAAAAATAGAGGGAGCATAGGCGACACCGCGAAGTTACAAGAATAGAGCGAGTTGCAAGATTCAAGCGAGTCGACCTGTGCGGGAAACGACGCTTGGCGTCGAGCTTCTCGTTTAATTATTAACAAGGCTAATATTTTCCTCGGCGCGGCGGAACAACGGCCAGCCGACTCGCTGGAATTATGACACGATATCACGTCGCGATAAATCGTCGGGATAATTATTCACACGCGCGTTCCTGCACACGTGAGTCGCCTCTCTCTCTCTCTCTCTCTCTCTC